GCTTTGCTTGACCAGTTGACTCCGGAGTGACATGTGCAACGTGTCAATGATAAGTCAACACAACAAGCATGGAGGGGAGGCATCCGCTCAGGATGACCTCAGAGCAGAGATTTTCACCATTCCAGTTTTGACTTGAGAGAAATTGAGCTTCAACTTCCCAACTTTCATTTAACCAGATCAAGTGTGTGTGTGTTGAGGGGAAGAACCGCGTGGCCCATTGTCAGAGATCCTTGCTGCGGCATGGTGCTCAGAGCCAAGTGAAGTCCTTGACCCATTGAGTTCAGCCTGAGTTGGGCAATGAAAGTATGGCCTTGCTGTCAGGCTGCAGCAGCTCATGCTGAGTCACTGGCTTAGCTAAGCCAGAGCATTGTGCAGAACTATCTGCTTTGTCATTGCCAGACTCAGATTAAATCGGCCCTTCCGACGAACTCATGTTCCTCGTCGCAGAAGCCCTCCTCGACACAAAGGCTGGGAGCACCTAAAGCACAGAAGAGCAAAAGTACTTTCAATGCCCTCGAAGCAGGCCACAGCTTGAGCAGCTCCAACTTCACACCTTGGTCCAAGCTGTCCAGCAAGAAGCTCTGGTTACAAAGCAAGAAAATTTGCAAGAGACCAATGGAACGCTAGTTGGCAGGTGCAAAGTCGTTGCCCCCAACTGCTGTCATGAAGGAGGTTACGGCATCTTTGGCTTTGCTCTTATTCAGCATCATGAGCAACTATGCAAATCCATGAGCTGGTGACCTGGTGATGCACTGCTTGTTTAGGCCAGTCGTATCGCGATGCCCGTGCCCCGCTTTGTGTTTGGGCCTCAGGCGTCAATGTAGCTGTAAGCCAAGAGCCGTGGAACAAACTCCTCTCCATAAATTTGAGGTCGTCAGGCGTCCGCCGTTCATCAAAGTTGCGGGCCAGCACCCCAGTTGCAAAGCTGTCATGCCAGCATAGACTTGGCTTGACAGATGCTGCATCAGCAGCAGCAGCAGCAGCAGCAGCAGCTCTCATGAGCATGTTTATCCCGACATAGCTGAACGCCTGTAGGCATTGCCAGAGATTGCACCGGAAGAGCTGGCCTCAATTGCACAAAAAAGTCCAGTCCGGTGCGGTTTGGGCTTTGTCTCCCCTTTGGACAGGTCAGGAGTGCTGCGGAAGGCCGCATTCGTCACAACAGGTTTCACTTTCGGGGTATGTCAATCTGCATGCTAATCAGAGTCTGCTGCATCGCAGGTAGAATGGGCAGCAAGGATGTCTGGACCTGAATGGCGGGGCATCTTTCTCACGAGCGTTTGCGTGCATCGTTACAGAGGCTGGCGACTCCTCGCGGGCTTCCTCAGCCACTTTGCATTTGAGTTTTTGCAGTGATCACATCTCTGAGAAGTCTCGCTCCTGCCCAGGCAGCTCGGGCGGCTGCCAATGCCAGGTTTGACATTGAGCTTTAAATTTAAGTATCAAACCAGACATGAACATGATAGGACAAGGAAAGTAAGACTTTCGGGCAGCAAGAGGCCCCTCCGGGAGCAAGACTGGGGAAATGCCATGAACATCCATGAACGGACGACAGGGAAGCAATAACCGGGCCTGTTGCTTAATTTGCATGGCCCTGCCCAAGGCAGGCCAAGGTTTGCAGAACTCTGGGCAGTTCCGAGTGAATCCAGACCAAAGTGCATGCGAGGCCATGCTCGCGAACAGAGTTTTGCCTGATGCCGAAGAAGACTACTTGCAAATGCAAGCCTTGTCAAGCATCAGCTATAGTTTTCACCAGAGAAGTGCCCATGCGGTTTAGCTGGGTTGTAATTTGTTGTTAGGCACGAATTCGTGGATTTTCCAACGGAATTCACAACCTGCAGAAGGTTGTGGTGCTGCAAGAGGACACGCGCATACCCTGCACATCATGAGAAAGTTCTTTGTGTTGCATTCTGCCTTCTTCGATGATCTCCACCTATATGCACTGTGCCGATCTTTCCCATGGCCACAACTCACAATGGTTCTGAGATGTGCGCAGATGTGGAAGCAGCATCGCGAGTCCATCCTCAAGACGTTGCAGGACTGGCTGGCCAGCTTTGGTTGAAGTGACTGACGGAAGCTTTATGGAATTGTTCGGCGCAGCCCTATCAGAATCAAAGTGCCGAATGTGTGTTTTCAAATGTTCTCTGCAGAACTGCGGCCTCAACTTGTACTGCTTCTACAGCAGAGATAGAGATCAAATTCTGGTCGGGCCTCAGCAAGAAACACGCAGCCAGCTCTAGTGTCGTACATTAGCTGTCTACTTGCGTGAAGGTGAAGATTGGTGCTGGGGCCCAGAAGCTTCGAGACACCGCAGCGAGGAGCAAATGCTGATCATGGTTTTCGGGTTCAGGCAGTCGTGCCTCTGCCGGCCTGAGTGATGCCTGCTGGAATTGATCTTTTTTGTGCAAGAATATCCTGCATGAACAGCCTGCAGGAAGCGCTACAAGCTGCAACTGAAGAAGGCACATCAGTGAAAGCTAACTAGGCGGTAAAAGAGCCTCGCTCCTTGCCTGGCAGTGGGCTTGATATTTCCAGCGTTGACGGCTAGTTTCTGACGCCTGGAAGCATGCCGAACATGCAGGAGTACCTCAGTGCCTTTGCCGAGTTTCGCCATGACTATCCGGGAAGGCTTGTGACGGGCCTTGCGCAGCTTTGGATTCAACAAAACTGGCTTTAAAGGCCAGAGTTCCGCTTCGCCGACCGCCGTATCATTTCCCACATCTACCAGACCCACACAGAGGATCATTTGAATCTTTGCAGCGGCGACTGAGCTACACCAGCCACATTCGTGTGGGCAGCGATGCTCATCAGGACAATCTGGATGGAAGCGGCATTTTCAAGACCCTGGATAAGTGCGCCATTCGTGCACAAGCGTCTTGCCTTGAAACTTTCACATTCTGCATGACCCAGGATTCAGCTGATCTACCACATCATTCAGTCTAAAGACAAAGACTGCGCAGGCTTGAGCTCGCCTTTTTTGGAAGCCAAAAATCCAAAGACCTTGCCTCGGGAGGCATTAACGTTGCAAAGCTTTTGCACCAGAAAGAGGTGAAGGTGGGCAGCCTGCGGTGGAAACCACTTAGGATCCCCAAATATACTGGAAATTCCTCAAAATTCCTTGGGTATGAGGTAGAACTTCGTTCATCCATAATGCGAGAAATGGAGCAGCTTAAGATGCACTGCTGCGCGAAGGCTTTCTTTCCCGTGCATGAGCCATCTGCTATGGAGAAGATCAAGTCGGTCCAGGCTCCTAAAGTGTTTGAGGAACTGGTGACTTGAGCCTGCATCAGCTTTGAGAAAAGCATGTTCTATTTGCCCGATCTTGCCAGTGGAAGTGGTTCTGGCCGGACGAAGAGCATGCAAACCGGTTACGGGACTACTTTGGTGACAAGGCCATAGAAACAGGTTTCATGTTTGACTACATTCTGTTGCAGAGTGTTTGCATCTGAACAGATCACCTTCTACTTCCTGTGGATGGCCTTCTATGTCAAGTGGCTCCTGCCGCTGGCATGCCTAGGCCCGTTCAAGTATTCCCCTGCTTCACGTGACTGGCATTGCAGTCAGACTCAGCTGCAGCCATTTTCACAGGCCTTTTTCTTCAATTCATTGACTGGTGTGCCTGGAACTCAGACCTGCGTTGCAAAGCCTTTTTCATGATTGCACGATTTTGTATAACGGCTTCTCATGACACAGCCACCTTTACCTGAAATCTGAGAGGGTCAGATACTTGAGCATGTGCGCCAGTGTGACCCTTGGAAAGATTGGCAGCCGGAGTCACAGAATCAGATTTTCTCAGCCGAGACCGTGTTCAGGGCTATGGCCATCGATGGCAATCATGTCCATAGTAGAAGGCATGCTGAGAAAAAAGATCGGCCCTGAAGGAAGAAGGGTTTCGCTGCTGTGAGGATTACAGTGACAGCAAGCAGTTGGAGGGCACACAGTTGGAGGAACATGAGGAACCTTTCAAGGTTGTGTGATTGAGGCAAGCCTGAATTGCTTCGTGTGCTGGCTGCTTCACGTGGAACACTTGCAGCTGTGCGTGGAAATCTGAAAATGGGACACATGGGTGCAGTATTCCGCTACCACTACTTGTCATCTTTGGAAGCAGAGGACCTGGATCAGCAAGGACCGCACCTGGGACGTGAAGGGTGCAAGCTCAAACGTGAGGAAATGCACGGAGTTCGATGGACTAGAACACCACACGGCAAGCTCAGGCACGAGCTCCAAGAACTGAAGAGCCTGCAAGGGCACGCACACACAATGCTTTCCAAGATCTCCTAGTGCGTGCATTATCTAAGAGACTGTGGGTACGTGGACTGGCACTGCCACGAGCAAGAACAGCGAAGAGTGTTTTGACTTTGAGGCCCAGAGGCTGTACGATGATTTAGCCAATGATCATGGCACTACAGACTTTTTCCACTGCTTTCCAGCCGGCCACACCGGACACCGGCCAACCGGCCACCGGCCACCGGCCACCGGACACCGGACACCGGCCACCGGCCACAGCACACTGGACACCGGCCACCGGACACTGGACACCGGACACCGGTCACCAGAAAGCGGACACCGGCCACTGCACCGGGACACCGGCCACCGGACACTGCCACCAGCCACCGCCACCGGCCACCAAGACCGCACAGCGCGATCATCGTAATCGTCGTCGTCATGTTGTGGTCGTCGCGTGCGGTGTAACGCAACAGCACTTCGTGTGTTCCCGAGCACCTAACTAACAATAACGTTCATGCTCGACTGCATCCGATGACCAGAGCATCCATGCCCAAACCAACATAATGTTAATTTACAACTGCACATGATGACTAAAGCATCCATGCCCAAGCCATAATTACGTTCATGTTTGACTGCATCCGATGACCAAAGCATCCATGCCCAAACCATCATGTTCATGCTTGACTGCGTCCGATGACCAGAGTATCCATAATAACGTTCATGTTAATCGTTGACATGAGGCCATGCAGGTCGCACTTGCCAGTACCTGATATAATGAGGGAGCCTACTAAGCGGGATAGTGATTTTGGCAACTTGGGCAGGTTCATTGCCAGCCTCCGTAAGACCGGCCACCCTCGCAAGGGCCCAGCGCCCACGTCAAGCGCACTAGACAACCCCTCTGCCACGCAGTCAAGCAAGCTGCCAACGCTGTGGTCAAGAGTAAAAGAGGTATGGGGTCGCTGACCCCTACCTCCCAAGTGCTCATACACTTGGCAAGGCCCCCCCTGTGTTGGCAGGGGCGGCCAGCCCTGATTCACTCTCTGAGCAAGTGGTGACTGCCCTTTTCAGCTTCGGCGGTCTGACGCCTCAGTGGATTGCGTCAACAAGTTGCGCAACAAGCTGCACTAGCTGCACACTCGTGGCACACCGGCTACACTCTAAACTACGACTGCATCCGATGACCAGAGCATCCATGGCCAAACCAGAATGATGGTCATGTTTGACTGCATCCGAGGATGGACCAGAGCATCCATGCCCAAACCACGAGAACGTTCATTGTCGACTGCATCTGATGTCCAAAGCATCCATGCCCAAACCATGACAACGTTCATGTTTGACTGCATCACCGGCCACCGGACACGGACACCGGACACCGGCCACCGGACCCTGGCCACCGGACACCGGCCACCGGTCACCGGCCACCGGACACCGAACCACCGGACACCGGCCATCAGACACCTGACACCGGCCACCGGCCACTGGACATGGGACGCCGGACACCGGACACCGGCCCCGGCCACCGGCCACCGGACACCGGCCCGGCCACCGGCCACCGACGGAATAAGTCTAACCCCCACTATGGAGACAATTTTTTTGTTACTCACGTCCGTAAAGTCAGTTGCTCACTTTTTGTCGCCTAGGCACGGACGCCTGACAATGTGACGGCGATTCCTTTTTGCGTGCGCCTGCAGCGGGCTACAGGATGCTCATGATCACAAGCATTCAAGATCAGATGCTTCCTGCACAGGTACTCATGAGCATTTGGTCCCTGTGCTTGCCACACTTCTGGCGCCGGCAAGAGGTGGGTTGCGCAATGTGTGAGTGAAGCAAAAGGGGCATGCGGACACTGTGCGTGGAGGCCAAATGTGCCATCAGCTGGGGATCCATGGACTTGGCGGTGGCCTCAAAGCTCCAGACTGGTAGATAGCCTCCTTGCTGCATTGCATGCGTTCAGGTTGAACAGCTGGAGCCTCACCGGCCAGAGCACACGGGAGAACAGCTCATCAACCCTGTGACCTCGCAGGCTTTGGCTGCCTGCTGCCCTGACCTTTGGTGCCTGATGATATCTGCATCTGCTGCTAGGCGGAACCGTACTATCCCTTTTCCAAGCGCATCTTCAAGTGCGCTGTCGGTGATGTGTGCAACCTGAAGACTCCACATCTGTTGCGATGCTGCAAGACCCTGCTGCAAGTACTCGTAGCTAAGAGGATTTCGGATTCGAACACATGCTGCTCGTCACACGTTTTGTCCGCTGTCTTGGATCAACAACCCCCGCAGCTATTGACCCATAGATTTTTTGGTAAGTGAGTATGGATGGTTCAGACGGCGGCTTTGGTACTTTCGGGGATGCGCAGGACGCGAGTGCCAGCCCCAGCATGATAATAGAGGGTGCCAGCCCCTCAGCTCCGTCAAGCCTCAGTTTCCGGGACACCTCGCCTGAAGGCTTGCCTGCCCTGCTTCCGGACGAGCGCGCAGAACTGCTGCTCCTGCGGGAGGAAGTTGCCAATTTACGGCTCCGCCTGACAAAGGCCAGTGAGTCACACAGTGGGAAAGAAGGGCTCCACGAAACTCCGGGCCTACGGCTGGAGACGCCTGACAAAGACCGCAGGCGCAGGGACTATGAAAGTCCAGAACCAGAGGCTTCTATTGAGATCAGTAACGTTGGCGACCTGCGCAGAAGAAGCGATTGGGCGCTACGGGAGAGAGCCTATCGTTGCGCACGGGATGCATTTATGGATGCAAACGATGCTAGTGGCACGGGGCGCGTAGTCCGTGCCCAACTGCTGGCTACGATGCGACAGCAAGAACCTGAAGTGGCTGCCTATTTCGAGTCGCCGCGACAACAGTTTCGTCAACTTCTGGTCGAGGGTGATCCCGAAGGGATCATAGAGTGGGATGACTTTGTCAACTGCTATGTGCAGCAGTGTAAGCAAAGCATCTCCGCTGTCAAGGCCATGGAGCCTGAAAGGGAAGGGTCGCCAGCGACCGCATCAACTCGATCGCCCGTATTACCGCTGCAGCGCTGCAGCGAGATCACAGGTCGGAACGTGAACAGCCTTTCTGATTTGTCGCACTCACACCTGCAGGAGCTTCGTTCACTGTTCACATGATTTCTGCCACCTGTAGGAAGCCAGTGTTTGTTGTGCATCTTTGAGTGGGTGTATACGTTGAACCTACATACATAAGCTAGTGGGCGAAGCCAACCAAAAAACTCTTGAAATCTCAACACTGCGTTGCCAAGCACGTGACCAAAGGACTCGCTGCTAATCTCCCCATCTGCAGAGGAAATACGAGACTCAGGCAGGGAAAGCATGAGACCACGGAGCATCTTGTATTTGATGTGATTCTTCTGCGGAGGCACCATGCCGGAGCTTTGGGCCAAGCTTGCCAGAACATCCAGCTCTCTGCTCCTTGTGATGTTGGACTGAGGCAGTCGCAGCAAGCGCTGTGGTCGATCGGAACTAAGTCCAGAAGCAAGTGTATTGCTTTAGTGTAATGCAGATCAGAAGTCTCGCTGATCTCAGAAGCTTGTGTAGCTGCAGAGAGTCTGTGATGTGTAGCGGTAGCGTCTTCGCTGGTCCGCGTAGAGCTGATACTACTACATTTGCGGAAGCCAACGCGGCTGTCCTGGACTTGTCTTTGGAGTCATGTTCTGCCATCAGGACAGGCCTGGCTCATAGAAGTGCTGCGCGATGGGCAGAGGCCTTTCGAAACGTAGCAAAATCATTATGTGTGTGCACCTTCATGGAGAGATCTCAGAGAGGTTCGCAATCATGGAGAGCTGTTGGCTTTGGAAGGCCTAGAGAACAGCCTTGTAAGAGCTTTGTGCTGGGCAATCACGAAGCATACAATTTCAGCAGGTTACGGGCTGCCGAGCCGCGAAGACGTGCTTTGGCTCTAAACGTTCTTGTGGCTGCCATGTACCAGATCCGGATCTGTTGAGGCGGTGATTGATGTAGCATCGCCGTCATCCGAGACCTACTGCAGCAAGACACTCAGAGATCTGACAGTGTTGGAGCACCATTACGTGCAGATTCCTCAGATTTGGGTGGAATGGGGATTTGCGGACAGCCGGCTGTGGGAGTATGGGTGAATGAACACGAGTTTGTTCGCAGGTTTCTTGGGGCTAGTTCCTTCTGCAAAACAGCCATGCCACAACTCAGAGCCACATGTAGGCGTCAGAGAAGTGCAGCTTTGGTATTGACATCGTTTGTCATGCAATGTTTATTGGGGCAATGGCACATGTCATGTAGCTCCTGGCTGACTGGCATGTTGGCTGTTGGTTTAGATGTGGGGTAAACAAGATCAGAGCGGTAAGGCCAGATCAAAGTGGTCTTTTGACGAGGTAGCTCGCCGAGATCTCCTCGGCAACCGCGGCTGACCTGGTCACGTGCCTACAATGTGGTGAGGAAGCAATTGTAGCCTCAGTGCATCTTTAATATTTGCAATACTTGTACTGAGTACATTTCCCGCTCAGTCTACCAACAACTTTTCTGCTTGTCTGCCGCCGTCCGAGCTGCGAGAGCAGAATACTGTGCTTGTTTGCTTCATTTCAGCTCAGTAAGTTTTGGGTTCACCTTCGCAGTTTTGCTTTTCCGTTTCAGTCTCTTGCTATGCTTTCTTGGGTGCCTTCGATCTCTTGCTGAAACAAGTGAGAATGGAGCCTCCAAAAAATGAGTCATGACCCCGCAGTCTGCGGCCAATGTGCACGGGATCGCGACTCCGTTGCCGCAGTTTTCATCTTGAATGTTGTAGCCAGTGCCTACGGCAGAGATGATTGCTCAATACCAAAAGGGCATTTGTATCATGATTGTTTTTTTCATTCAGCCGCGAACTGCGAGTCTTAGCTTCTGCGGGCGCTGCAGTCCTCAGGACTGGCTACCTCGTGCAGCAGCGTAGCAGCGTAGCGTGTAGCACTATCATCTTCGGCCAAGATGGCCTAACATGGAACCCCTCGCTTTGTGCAGCGCAGATCTCATAAGTCACGCATTGGCAACAGCAAGCCGATGAATGGCAAGACCACCACTCGTAGTGTAACAGGTGTAGAGGCGGAATGCAAGAGGAAAGCTGGCTTTGGTCTTGCCTGTGGCGTTGAGACACTGTTAAAAGGGCCTGTGGCGTGCTTTCGTGGCCTCTGAGGTCCCGTGAGCCGGGGGCAGCGGGGGCAGCAAGCCTTGCCACAGCGCCATGCAGCTCCCGAACCTGCTCTGGGAGGAGCCGCTCGCGAGAGTCGAGCGCTCACACCGCAACGCCTTCTTGCAAGGCAGCAAACTCACCTTGCTCGCCATGGCCTGGAAGCTGTCACTCTGAGAGCTGTCCTACATCCAGTCCCTCACAGCGTTTGGGCGAGTCCTTTGCTGCGACCAGGGCAAGCATTGCGGAATCTTTTGCAAAAGCACAGGCTGAGCCTTTGAGGGCACCGCGCCTGCACTGGAAGCTGCCAACAACTGCAACAACTGCAGCCGGTCCACTGCCGCCTGCAGAGGGCACAGGATCTGCTAGCCTGGCAAGCCCGCAGCATGCTGGACCCTTGCAGGCCGGAGGAGAGGCCGTGTTTCTGGAAGCCCCTGCCTCATTACGGCCAAAGTCACCCCGGGCCATCCGCACAGACCAACTGCCGCAAGCTGTTTCGATTGTGTTTCCACAACCAATGTTGTCACACACGCAGCAACCTGGGTGCATGCTTCATCCTATGCCAAGCCAGCCAAGCTCTTCTCTCGGCTCGCCCTGCGTGCCAGCGCGCCTGGTCACGAGCGAATGTCAAGAGGCTGGCAATGCCATGACTGAACTGCCAATCAGTCTTTCAATCCTGATGCTGAGATCTGCCAGGAGAGCATCCTCAACAATCAGGTGGCAGGTTGCCCTCAGTTGGAGGCTTAGTACTACGGCTCAGCAGCTGGTATGTCCATATCGTCTCCATCACGCTGTTTTGTTAACATGTCGCGAGATCCTATTGCATCAAGTTTCAGTACTGAAGCAGGGCTAGGGTGTCATTGATCATTGCTGCAAGTCTGGTTCTGGACGGTGGGGTTCCATCTGCATCTTTATGGTGTTTTGCTGTTGGCCATTGCGATGGGCTGCGTGCGCGCTAATCGCTGGTGCCTTGGTAGAAGAGTTCGACGTTCCTTATTCGCAAGCTGCCAGCTTCGCTGTTGAGCTTCCCGAAGTGTGCACTTGCGATGGAGGCCCTGGGAACGATTGTAAGAACCCTTTTGCGGCTATGACGGCCTGGCGATATGCAAGCAACAACTTGCGCAGAGCTGTTGACAACCTGCCAGAGTCTGAAAGGCGGATGCACAAAAGCACAATCGCCCTCATTGCTCAGATAAGTGCAGAAATAGAGGCGTTCTTTCGTGAACCAAACGCGGAGACCATGGTGGTTGCCGTCAGCAATGCGCGCCAAGTTTTTGATGCACTGAAAGGTTGGATGGTGTACTCGGCACCGACACGAGTGAAGGTGGACACCAAAGGTGTAGGTCTGCCATTTCTCTACGGTGGAATGTCTTTGCGGCTTCCGGCACACCCACATGCTCAACCTGCAGACGCAGAAGTTCGCCTTGCTAACGGTGTGGAGATGCCTGTTCTGGGGTTTGGAACGTGGCAGCTAGTCGGTCAAGCGTGCTTTGAGGCCACCATGCATGCTCTGAGGATAGGCTACAGGCACGTGGATACAGCACAGGCTTATGGAAATGAACAGGAAGTTGGACGAGCTGTAGCTGGAGCTGGTGTTCCCAGACACGAGATATTCCTGGTGTCAAAGCTAAGTAATCCTGAGGAGTATACCGATTTGAGGGTTCGCTTTGAAGCCCAGCTTCGGGACCTGAGAACGGATTATTTGGACTTATACTTGCTGCACTCGCCGGGCCCATCGCAGGAAGCTACACGTCAAGCCTGGCGAAGCATGGAGCAGTTGTACAACGAGGGAAGGATTCGAGCTCTTGGTGTATCCAACTTTGGCAGGGAGGACTTGGACCATTTGCTAGAGTTTGCTGCTGTGCCACCCGTCTACGTTCAAAACAAGTTTTCTGTTTATGCGCCTGGTGAGCAGCGTATCAACCATGACCGCTGCATCATGGCCTATCTGAAGGAGAAAAATATTGCATCTCGGCTTATTGGTAGTCGGTCCATGAGCCATACGATGCGGAGAGGCTACAGACACACTTTATGGTGTGTTGTTACATTGCATGTTCAGGGGAGAGGGGTGGGCGTGGGGGGGAAGTGAGAGCATTCGAATTGCATTTCACTGTTAACTTATAGTGGTGAGACCGTCATACCAAATCTAGATTTGCTAACCACAGCGACGTTGTTGCATGTCTTCCTGCACATGCTGTGTGGGCAGACTTTCAATCTCTGCTGATGCCCTCCGTTGTCTAGAATGGTCGTTATCAGTTTTATACGTCCTGTGACATTTGTATACATCTGTCTTACGGATGCTGCGGGCCTTTCTGGAATGCTCTTATTTTGATCTAGAGGCCCTTTTGGAGGCACCTTTGCTTGTTTCTGCAGCGCACTGAAAGGCTGGTTGCTTGGTCAAATAGGGAACGAAGATTCCTTGTCAGTCTTGAGGCTGAAGGCGTCACGTGGGTGTACCAGTGGATTTGCAGGCAACACGCGGGTTCATCATGGCTATCCATTTTCTAAATCACACGATGTACGTGTTCTGAGCAGCGAGAGCTGTCCAAACTAGTAGTATCAGGTAACACAAAAACCATAACTTGTTGGTGCATTCTGGAAAACCCCTCGTGGCCGTATGGCACATGCGAGGTGATGATGGGCTACTCCGTCATCAATCCCTGGCCAGGCATCATTCCACCGCTGCAGGATCCTCACGTCATGGCCATGGCTGCCAGGAAGCACAGAACTCCTTCACAGGCCAGGGGTGGATATTTAGATGTGCATGCCAAGCACAGGAGAGCTGCTACCAGCTGTGACAGCTCTCTATGAGATTGCGTGGGTCTACAAGAGTTGATTTTAAACATCATTAATAGGAACAGGGCCAGGAGTCCTTGTAAAGACAGGTGAGGCAGGGGCAGAGGCAATCCTGCTCGCTTTCTCCTTCAGGTGCTGCATCGGTGGGTTTTGCAGCTCGGCACTGGGGTCATCCCTAAGTCGGCCAGTCCGAGACGAATTGATGCTCGCGTAGAATTGGAAAGTCCCATCTAGGTTTTTTTCTCGTGCTTCCAGTCGAAGCAGCAAACACTGTGCACAATGCATCGGCGGAGCAATCTAAGGAGGAGAACGCAGGACTGTTTGATTTCAGTCTAAGCGATGGAGAGATGCGACTACTCAGCGGGATAATCACCCTGATGGAAAGTACTGTGTCAAATCTAGCTCCGAAGTGGATGGAAGACGCTTGGAGGATTCATTTCCTTGTCTTATAGGTGACTTCTCTTGCTTTCTCATGCTGCTTGTGAAGACTCACAAGCCGACTAAGGATGCCTTCAGCCTTGGAGTTGGAGTAAGGGGCGTGACGGGCGTTGTGGAATGAAGTTTTTTGCCAATCTCAACTTCCTGGTATCGAAGATGACCGATGCCATTTTGCTGCGCCTGTGATTCACGATGACGTTCGACACGCTCAGGGGAAACTGGAGGGTTCCAGTGCTAGGTGAAGTCATGGCACGGGTCGCCTTGAGGGAGTGAGCCTGGCAAAAAAGCGGACGGGTTGCCTCCCTTGGCTGAATTGGCACATTTGATACCAGCCAAAAAGCCTGAGGCAGATGACCTTCATGGTGCGGAACTGTCCACGTAGTGTCCATAGCCTCAGTCAGAAGGGGAGAGCTTTGATGATTTGATGTTGGAGGGAGCATGATCACTGGGAAATTCAAGGTCTCACCGCTCGTGGTAGGAATTGGGCAGGGTGCTTCCTTGCAGAGGCAGCTTCTGTGATCATCTTGAAGCTATCTAGACTCTCCTTGCTGACAGCTAGTCAGGAGTTGCACGCCACCACCTGCAGCGACGTGCGCCCCCTTCGCTGTGTTGCAGCTTTCTTTCTGATGTTTGGTGCTTTGCTTCAGGCTGAGACCGTCATCCCCGTGCATCTATGCCAAGGCAGGGGTGCTGCATTGTCAAGCTTTATTGCTACGAAGGCTAGGTGCAGCTCGCTGTCAGCAATTTTGCGCAGGATATTCATATGGCTGGAAATGGCCGCAGGTTTATGTGAGCTGGCTTCAGAATCATATGTGAGGTTGTGGCAAGACTGAAGGCCTGTGTTGCTGGAAGTTAGAGGGGAGCAGGCAGGGCTGAATTCAAGCCGTACCAAAAGGATTCTGATGCCCGCTCGTGTGAAGCATCCATACATAGACCTCATGCAGTTGCGTGTGGAGCTCCTGTTCAACTGCTGTCCGAATGTCTACTTGCAAAACTCGGTTGTGCTCGAAGTAGGTAGAGCACAGGAACGGAGCTCTGCATCTGAAGTGTTTCCCTCCAGCTGCAGCAGTGTTCGGCAAAGAGCAAGAGCTGTTGTCCTGGAATTTGGGGACAAACTTCTCGAAAAGCTGTTGAGAATCTTTCTCGTTTCGTGGCAGCTCCGCTCAAAGTCAGCTTTCTGGAGGTGGTACCATATGCTCGTACGCAAACTACGCAACACAGTTGCTTTCCTGTCATGCCAAAGGCAAAGATGGAAGTCGATAATTGCCTGGAGCTCGTGTGTTTTGTGCGCGCACGCTCCCCAACAAATTCGCACCTGAAGCTTCCCGGAGCCGCGGTCGACAAAGAGCCGTAAGATGGCAAGCCATCTGCACTCAGACACTGAGCAGCCAGCGGCCTGCAATGCGCTTGCAGTTACTTGGTGAGCGCTGCAGCCATGGCTGTGGCAACCTGCATTTGCGCCTTCGCCTGAGCTGAAATATTGTCTTGGATGCAGAACCTGTTGCTGTAGGTTGGAGTGTTGTGCATCTTCACAATTCTCAGATGCTCTGCATCCTCATCCTTCTCTTCGTACGGCACAACATCAAGAATGAAGTCGGCCCCTACAACAATCCTGATGATGGGTTCTGGAGTACTTGGCTGCCTTTCTCAGGTGCATCACCACATTATTAGCTTCCAGATATGCATCGCTGCCTACGTTGAGATTGCCAATTCATTGCTAGATGTGTCTGGACCTCACTTTTCCAAAGCGTAAGTGCTCGCGGCTTTGATTTCTGTCCGTGTGCCATATTTGTAATGCACTTTGAAGGCTTGCGAGATTCCTCACGGACCAGGAGAACCATAGGACACAAACTGAGTACGAAAGCGCACTCCTGTGCAAGGCTCGGAGAGAAACTCATTCTGGTCATGGAAACTATTCTTGCATGAGCAGGGAATGGTCCTCAAGTTTGTAAACTCCTTCTTTGCTCTCTACTACGTGGCTTTCTTCAAAGAGCTTTCAGCTCAGCCTGGGCTGGGAGGGAAATCAGCACCGCGGCGCCTTTCAAGCTTCGTGTCACGGAAGATGTCTTCTGCAAGGCACCAGACGCTCTTCAGTGAGCCAATGGAGTGCCTGAGACGCCGCCTTAACCTTGCAGTCATGTTTCCTGGTTGCTGAGTGCCTTTGACACGAGTCGCGTCAAAAACAGAACAATTTGAGAAGAAGAAAACGACCAGGGGCCAAAAACAAGATGCGGGTGTCCGAAAGGGAAATGTTCCCAGAACGGGAAGATTCCCTAGCTGAACCTGTAAATTCTAGCCAAGGAGGCCTTATACATGAGCAAATGATAATCATCATGCTTCGCTGGTGCATGCCAGAATAAGAGGCCAGGGGCCAAAAGCGTGACGTAGGTGTCCGAAAGGTACATGTTCCCAGCGTGGAAAAGATTCCCTTGATTTTTCAAGGGACCGAGCGGTAATTTCTAGTTGAGGCGGCCCTGCACATGAGCAAATGACAATCATCATGCATCACTGATGGCAAATCTTGCTAATTTAATCGCTGACGCGTGACCGCCTCGGCAAATGTTGTCGAGGGGGGGAGAGAGCAGATGAGCAGGGGAGCTGCATACTCAAACCATTCTTTCCGTGGCTCTGCAGGTCCCCGACCCCCCAGCCCAACCGACCCCCCTCCCGCCCCTCCCCCCCACCATGCCGACACAAGCCTGGCGCGACCAGCCGGACCCCCCGGACCGGACCCGTAGTCTCCGGACCTGGATCTAAACGCCCCAGGCTTCCGGCCTCGGCGGATTTATCGGAGATATTTGACTTGGAATTGTTGAATTCTGAAGCAGCATGAGTTCATCAGCTTCAGGAGACCAATGCTTCCTGGACATACAAGCGCAGCTGGGGTGCGCTGAGATCAGAGCTTGCAGAGTGTGCTGTTTCTTCGCGAACTGTTCATCGCATTTGCACAAGCTTTTCATTTTCTGCTGTTGCGCAGAATATTCGTGCTCTTTCGCCTCCTAGTCTCCAACGTGCCTGCGCCTCAGGCACTGTCAGCTGTGTGGAGAAGCGCAGTTTCTCCATTTTCTCCTAATCCGAAGATTTCAGGTCTTTTGCAGCATTATTTTCCCTCCCAGATTTGCCGAGGTTCGAGCATTACTATCCCAAGGTTCGCCTGTGGTTTCGAAGCTGGTGCGCCTGCCCGAATGCCCGCGGGTCATCGCTTTCCTGTTACAATTGCACCTGACGTTCATTCGGCTATATTCGGCTCAAGATAGGTTCCAGGCAGGCTTTTTGGACCAATTCAGTAGTAGGGCTGTGTGTGGTGGCAAATTTGTTTAGATATTCTTTAGATGGAGCAAGAGCCATGCCCCAGTGCCCCAGCCGAAAAATCCGATCGCGCAGGCGGAAGACCTTGCTAGAGCGTCACTGTAGAGCTTCCTTCCCACAGCATGAGACGGTGCTTCTCCAAAGGACCGTCCAAAGCCTCAAAAGAGGGTGCTGGACTGTCTGTGCAACATCCCGAGCTGGAAGCATCCTCAAATGCAGGAGCCAACGGGAATTGAGCGGCTTTCAGACTCAGATGTAACGTGTTTTCTTGCTGTCCATGAGGACAAGGCCAGAAGCGCCGGGCAGAAGATGCGGCTGACGACCAGAAGCAGCGTGCTGAATTCACAGTCGTAGAGACGATTGCGAGACCCGGCCCAATTTATCAGCTGCCATGTTTGAGATGTGCATGACGGGAAGGAAAGAGGCTGTTGAGAATCGCAAGGTGGGATGATTGGTGAACACGGGCAGGAGCATTTCAGACAGATCGCGGTGCAGAGATGTGGACATGACTAGACGACAGCACGTCGCAGCAGCCAACAAGAGGCGATGCTCATTGACCATAGAGTCCGTAGAGCGCAAGCCAAGACCTTGTTCGAAGTTACCGTTCCTGACGGCACGCGGAGGTTCACGTTCACGAAGAAGCAAGCAGCATCAGCGCTAAAGCTGGGCCGGAGATCAAAAAGGATAGTGTTTCTGAAAAGCTCTTCATGCTGCCAAGTCTTCAGAAACCAATTGATTTGTGCTCACTGCTTGTGCCTTCGCAGTTACTATGACAAGATCAGCATCGAGACGTTGTATCACGGTGCTGCCCTTAACTGGCATGTCAAGCTGTCTTGATTTTGTCAGGCTGTCACAAGAGTTGGGGAAGAGTCAAAATCTGCTCAGGCCATACCCTCGAGTTGGCCGAGATGTCAGCTACAGAGCAGCAGGCCAAAAAGGACAGACATTTGGCATTATTTGGCAAGGCATGGCCTGCATAGGGCTTCATATTTGTAGAATCTTGCAGGACAAGCACCGTAACTTCGATCAGTTCGATGAGATGCTTTTGACGTCGACAGCTCAGCGCTTGAATAAACCGAGCTTGTCACGTCTGTAGCGCTTGCGTTTTGCAGGCATGGCTATGCGACACTGTTCGCAGTGACGTCTCCTTGGGTCTGCACTGCAGTGCGCCCTCCTGTTTGATGCCAACTGCTCAATCTGTCCTGGGAACTCAGTCGCAAGCATGGTGTGTCTGAAGAATTGTTTCTGTTTGTAAGCTCAAGATGTAGCTACTCTCCTGCCAGACGCTGCTAGCCGTCCTGGTGGAGATATGGGTCGACATGAGAAGTCTGGGTCTCAGGGGCTCGATGCGTAAACATGGGCCGCAGTACTGCAACTCAGACTCTTCAGTGCTGGCCTCCTGGTGGCCAGTAGTCCTGCAGCAAAAGCCCGCCAAGAAGAGGGCCCATGGAATTTGTGATGTACATTCAGAGCATGTGGCATGCGGAAGGCAGGAGAACCAGTGCTTGCCAAATAGCCTGCAAGAGGAAGCAACGCAGGGTTGCTGGCCCCTTTACGGATTTCAGAACAAGGTCTTGGCTTCGTTTGGTGCATGGAGGGATAACTGCCTGCCAGAATGACCCATGAAGCATGACTTGACCATGACAAGGAGTGCTTTGTTTGCCTACTTGCCTTGACTTGCATGAATTCCTGCGACTGTTGCTCGCTGTAGCTTTTGGGTTCATGTGGGACAGGCCCGGTTGGTGGCCTTTGATCCTGGGTTGGATAGGGTGCTCGAGCCATAACTACAGCGACTTTGTGCTAGCTTGTGCTGTGTGCTGGCTCTGCGGCTTCTTCACTGGTGCTGCTTTGCTCGGCTTGCTTTTGAGCCGGTCTGCTCGCAACATCCTGTGGGGCTGCCTGGGTGCATTCGTGAGGGAATTGCATCCCGCGCCAGCTGGTGCAGGTGGGGGCCCACGTCTTGCCCGTTACCGAGGCGTGCATGAGCAGTGACCCCTCAGGGATTGACCTTCGGCTTCTTGAAGCTCAACTCCGTAACTTGACTATCAACGTCACTGTGGTTACCGGCGGCGAGACCGTCAGGACTTCAGCTTCCGCATCCTCAAGCCGGCAACCCGGCAGCGAGCCTTCGCAGGCACCCACCTTTCCTTCAAACGCTCCCTCTTCAACTGCTGGTGCCGGAGACCGCGCTTTTGGATCTCCAACCTGGGCTCATCGGACCACCTCTGCTGATTGTCCTCCTTCTGTTCTTCGCCTGGCACGTAGCCTGCGCTCGACTTCTGGAGGTTCTGGCGAGGAAAGGGTACGACGCGCTTACTTGAAAGGACGCGAAGCAGCTACCATTGTTAGAGGCGAGGCCGAGTGCTATACTTCGGACACGTCGACTACCAGGCGCATCTGCTACGTGGTCTTGCTCGCTGAGGGAGTGAACGAGCCCTTTGTGACTTTCAACCGCAGCGTGTGTTTTAATTACGTTAAGACCGGCCCCGGTGGCACCTGGAACCCGGACTCTGTATCGCACGGCTTCGCTTCGCAAGCTGAGGCCGAGGCTTACTGCTTCGGTGCTGGGCTCCTTGGCTTGCCCCGTAGGCGAGACCAATGACTGAGGAGAATCTTGCTTATTTGGGGGGATATAAGACTGCTACTGACGTGAGTGGCTACACTAAGTTGTGGTACACTAGGAACGGCAGATGCGGCCAGGCCTTCATTATCAAAGCTTGTCCTACAGGATTTTTGCTATGCTTGCCCCAGGGCGCAATTGCCGAAGAAGAGTTGGACCAGGCCACCCTGGAAGAGTACACTGGAGTGATTGGACCCTGGACGACACCCAGCGTTATCGCTGTTGGCGTGCACGGCCGGGAACTCAAGAAGACGCTTCCTGTGCTCATCGTCGATGTGCAGGCCTCGGAGATCTCCAACTTAAGCGTGGAGCCCGTCTATGGTGCGGAACGGTTCACTTTCGGCACTGTTCGCTTGCAGTCTGTTTGGCCGGCAAGGGTGCGGATTCTCGAGGCCCTGGAGGCTTTCTTGAATGGGGAGGAGCTCCCCGAAGAGCGCCTCGAGGGCTACTTCACCGCCGCTTCCGAGATGGAGGGCGGGCTTCCGACCTTGGACGCTCCCGCTGCTCCCGTCGAGGTCGAAGAGCCTGTAGATGGGGAGGTGCTGCACCAGCTGTTGCAACAGAGCTCCACTCAGGCCAATCTGCTGCAGAGCATCCAGGCAAAACTTTCGACCCTGGATCACATGGAGGAGCGCCTGGCCACCCTGGAGCGCCAGCCGGAACCAGCACAGAGCAAGGCAGGCCCGCCAGCACAGGGATCAGGGGTACCCACTTGGGCACCACAGCTTTTCAACGATGGGAGCCAAGCCAAGCTGGGTACGGACCAGATCCAGCAGCTTCTCTCGCTTGCAGGGCGAGGCCCTCGCACTCTTGGAGATGTCGGAGTTGCCGGCAACCACCGAGAAGAAGGCGCTGCAGCTTTGGGAGCTGTCCCGAAGGCCAAGGCTTCGCTTCCCCTGCTTCCAGACCTAGGCCGAGGAGGACGACGCCGAGCCAGAGGACGTCGTGGGGGAGACCGGTCTTCTCGCCAGGCTCCTTGCGAAGCAGACCAAGATCCTAGGGCAGCTGGCATCATCCAGCAAGCAGCAGGCAGACCCGCTGCAGAGCCTGCTGGGCGGCAGCGCTTCAAGCGAGGAAGATCCGAAAGTTCCAGGTGTACGGGGAATGGCAGCCCGCCAGCTCCTGCGGAAGCAGTTCGCATCTCACCCCGAGCGAGTGGTGGCGAAGATCAGAGAGCGACTGGCCCTGGCCAGACGCAAGGAGACTTCGGCTTTGGAACCTCGGGATATGTACCTGCATTTCCAAGAAACTGTTCCTCTGGGCTCGTACAAGACTCTGACTTATTTCTCCTTTCTTCTGGCGGAGTGCTGGGAGGCGGCGGAGAAAGGGCAAGCTCAGCAGATGGTGGCCCTGATTGGTCTGGGCCTGGTCTTTGCGGAGCAGGTCGCAAACGAGCAGGGCCACACTCGGCTGGGATGGCTTCTGACAGGGCGGGCAGACCCACCCTTTGCCCTGGTGGAACAGCGGAAGGCTCCGAGGTCCGAAGTGCCGCACGGCATGTTAGCGGACCCTCGCTGGGTTACAGCGAACTTGGCTTATCTCCGGGATGCAGACCTGATCACCGAACGGACCAACAAAGGGCATGGCCTGAACATCCCCAACCCACAAACGAATCCAGAAGAGCAGCCCAAAGGCCGTGGCCGAAGAGCACGCGGCAACAAGGGCGCGGGCGAGGAAAGCACGGCCTGACATCGTCAGCCTGGTTCTTGCCTCAGGTTTTCCCAAACAGTCTGGATGAAGCTCTGAGTGCCTCGCAGCTTTGTACAATTATTTCGAGGTTTTTGCCTAGATGCGGAACCAGATTGTCGAATTTCATTTGCATGAGTATTGCACACCCTTTTTCGAACTCTGCCTTGCACAGTTCTTCTGAGCTTTGGCCCTGCCGTGTCCCCCCAGCATTGCCGATCCCTAGGACGCACCTGAGAGGACGGCGCGAGGCGCGGTGGAGGTTGAGATGTGTGATCCGACTTGTATGTCGCCATGTTATTGCAGCGAACAATTGGTTGGCACTCAACAGACCTCAATCTCCCCCATGCGACTTGCCGCCCCCTTCAACCTGCCAGCAAGCAATGGTTGACAGGTTGGAAAGCATGGCTTCTGCTTGGATCCGCTTAGGCCTTGGGCCTAAACGCGGACTTGATCGTTCAGTTCAGAAGTTTGACTCCATCAAAGATGGCTTGACTCAGCTTCACATCAAAAGCCAGATTTTGTTCTCCGATTTGCAACCGTACAGCAAGCCCCGCCGAGGCGATGCAGTTCCAGCTGGGCACCTTCACTCTGAGCCGCGCGAAGATTTAGGTCGAGCTGGTCCAGTCAACAACTTTAAGCGTATTGACCCCACTCGATTAAAGTTCGATGAGCCCCCGTCCTTCGAGGCCAAGAAGTTCCTTACTGATCCTTTGTTGCGGGCAGGGCTCCGTGATCCCCGTGCATTTCGCAAAGCGGAAGTTGATTGGGCCAAGCCTCGAGTAGCTCGCGTGCAAGCTTGCCGGAATGATCAATTCGAACTTTATCGCAAATGGGATGGGGTAGACAGCTTGTATTTGTTGCCAGCCGAACAATCAGAATATCGCTACCGGTGTGGATTATTCGCTGTGTATAAAGGCGAGCAACTAGACTGCCAAATTCTCAATCCTATACCGGAGAATTCGAGGTCGTTCTCAATCTCCGAGGCTACCCTCAGTTTAGCACACTCAAGCCTTCTCTGTCAACTGTACATCCCCGAGAATCAGGTCCTCTGCATCAATTCGGACGATCTGTCGGATTTCTATCATGGATTTTCTGTCAGCGAACTTCATGCAGCTAGAAACCACATCCATGGAGTCTTCGATGGTAGTCTGTTCACTGACTTTAAAGCCTTTAGACCTGAGCTCTGCGGCAAGCCCGTAATTGGATGCTTTCGCACGCTGGCGATGGGGACGAGCTTTGCAGTTGAACTAGCTCAGCATGCACATGCAGTTCTGTTGTATAGAGCTGGCTGCCTTCGATGTCACGAAAGGGTTGGGTACAAGCGTATTCTCCCAAAGGGGCCGGGGTTTGATCTCCTTTGCATCGATGACCATGTCTATCTATTGCTGGTTGACCGCGCTGTTGCTTGCAAAGCTCCCAGCCCCAATCGTCGTGATGCACAACTGTTCGCGCAAGCGGCTGCCATGTACTCCAAGGTGGGTCTCCGAGTCTCTGCCAAGAAGAGGGTTCGTAATGCTTTACAGGCCACCGTTTTGGGGGGAGAGATTGATGGCCTCCGTGGGGACATTGCAGCTCCGCGCCTGCGCACAGTTGCACTTGGCAGCCTCACCTTCCAGCTCATTGTCTTAGGCTTCTGCACCAAAGAGTTATTGCAGTGCATTATTGGGTGCTGGGTCTTTGTATGCATGTTCCGACGGCCATGCATGTCCATTTTGAGCCAGACTTATCATGAGCTGTCCGGAAAGGCTGAGGGTGAGATTTTCCGCTTGTCACATGATTGCCGACAAGAGCTCCTGCTGTTGACGCTGCTTAGCCCATGCATGTACACTGACTTGAGAGCTGAACCCCTGGGTAAAGTATTTTGCACAGATGCTTCCGGCTTCGCAGCAGGGGTTTGCGTTAGCAGAATCAGTAAGACGGCCAGTCTGGAACTTCTCAGGCGCGCGGACCACAAGGGGTTCCATACACGTTTGCAAGCCCGATCCAGTGTTTATAACATGGAGGAGTTCGAGTTGCTCGATCCCCACCTTGGGTTTAACGCTAGTGTGCCCGCTCAGCTCTCTGAAGGTATCATCTTTGATTTCATGGAGATTTTCAGAGGCGAGGGTAATTTGACAGAGACTGCGCGGAGCATGGGGTTAAGGACGCATCCTGGTTTTGATATTGCAGACGGGCCGTCTGGTGATCTTTCGACCCGAGAGTGCATGGGATTGATCATCGGCCTTATATGCAGAAGGGTTGTAGCCTATGTTCACTTGGGCCCGCCGTGTACTACTTTTGGCACTATGCGACGGCCCAGGGTACGTAGTAAGCGAGAACCTTTTGGTTTTGACCCCAGCGAACCGGCTACCTGTGCCGGCAACCTCCTGGCCATCCACGCTGCCATGATTCTACATCTATGTAGCTTTTACAGTGTGCTGGCTTCCTGTGAGCAACCGTCAGGGTCCGTCATGTTCCGGCTGGACATTTTCCGGAAACTTCGGCTGAAAGGATTCTTCTTGCTCAGATTCCCTTTCTGTGGTTACGGCACACCCTTTCAGAAGGACTCTGCCTGGCTGGTGAGTAATCCTAAGCTTCTTGTGCTTCAAGCCAAATGCTGTTGCCCGCTTCGAGGCAGACATCTGCGTCTTGAGAGTTGCTTCACTCAAGAGAGCTTGAAACAATTTGCCCAGGCATGCAGACCCAATGTTGTGGCTGTTTTTGGAAGAGCTCCTAGAGTAGGAGAGCCGCTTTGCAGATTCTCAGGGACGTACCCTGTTCCATTGTGTCGCAGAATCTTTGAAATGCAGCTCCCGTACATCCAGAAGCTGAATCAGGACGACTCCAGTCATATCCGCCCGGCTCATCAGCCGCCACGCTGGGTTGCTGACTTGGGTTGTTGTTTGTCATGGAAGACACTCATCCAGTACCGATTCAAAAGAGTGAACCACATCAATATCAATGAAGAGTTGTCGTACCGGAGTCTCATCAAGCATGTGGCCAAGACTAAGCCTTCTCACCGTTTTGGGGTTATGCTGGATAGTAGAGTCGTCATCGGATGTAGCAGCAAAGGAAGATCAAGCAGTGCCAAGCTGAACTTTTACCTCAGCAGTTGCTTGCCCTACATTTTGGGAGGAAACCTTTACCCGGCACACTTCCATGTAGGCACTCATGATAATGCCGCTGATGATCCCTCACGGTTGCGCCGATTGAGAGACCCTGCTGAAGTTTGCCCTGTATGGTTGACCCGATTCCTTCGTGGCGACCACCGCTACTTGGCTGCTGTCAAGTTGAGTGACGACTTCACTGGTTCAACGGGTAATTGGGCTCGCTTAAGCATTTTGCTGCTGATCCTGGCACAAGATGCCTCGCCCCCGCCGGGCTTCGAAGACACCCCGCTCGAGGGTCAATCTTGATGCCACAGGAGGCCTGACCAGCATAGTGGCTTCTCGCAGGGCACAGTTTTTTGCAGATTTCGGCAGATGGGCTGCAGCTGAATTGGGCTGCAGTTTTTCTCAAGTGTGCGCTACCGGTTTGTTGCTCGGCACCACTTTGGTTGCCTTTGGCAAGTTTCTGTTTTATGAAGGTTCCCCCAAATATATTTTCTCGGAGACCATTAATGCCTGTTGCGACCGCTTCAAGCACTACCGCAACTTTTTCGCAGCTGCCTGGGGCATCCTTTCGCGCTGGGAGGAAGAGGAACCGGTGGAGAGGAGCATGATCATCCCTGTTTCAGTTTTCAAGGCCGCCGTGACGGTGGCTTTGCTGTGGCGCTGGCCAGTCTTTGCTGCTGGCTTGCTGATCGGTTTCAATGCGCTGTTGAGACCTGGAGAGTTTATGCTGCTGAGACGTAAGGACCTCATTCTGCCTCGCGACTTGTTGTCAGATTTACCTCTGGCATATGTCCGCATTTTGAATGGCAAAACCAGGCGTTTCATGCAGCGTCAGCATGCAAAGATTTCAGATGCGACCACAGTCTCATTTCTGGACAAGCTGTTTGGTCACTACCCCGCCTCATATGAGTTGTTTGGTTGCTCAGCCAACGTCTTCAGGCGCAGATGGGACGCTGTCTTCGGTCAGCTTGGCGTTCCGACTGGGGACTCTGGCAAAGGTATCACGCCCAAGTGCTTGCGTGGTTCAGGGGCCACCTGGATGTACCAACTCACTGAGGATATCAGCCGCATCCAGTGGCGCGGCCGCTGGCAACAGCGGCGGACTCTTGAGCATTATCTGCAAGATGTCGCTGGACAACTCTTGTTGGCTGACCTGGCAGAGAGCCATCGCCACCGCATCCTTGTGTTGTCCAGCTGGTGTGCTGCAGTCTTGAATCACGCTTTGAACTGAGCCTCAGCTTCGCCGGCACGTAACAGATTTGGATGGAGCCTGACAGCTTCAGAAAAGTTCCAGTGATGCCCTGCCAAAGCGGCACGGCTCTCACTTCATTATGCTGGCCAGCTTGTACATCTGTTGCTCTCTGCGATGCGCACTCGGGACACTTCATGTAGCGTGCACAAAGGAAGCCTGCATTCATGTCAAGTGGTGGCTGGTTGCAAAGGCCATGATCGAAGCCCAATGTTGGAATTTGCTTCTTTGCACGGGATGTTTTTGATCTCCGCGTTGCCTGGATAGTCAAACATGGGATGGCCAAGCGCATGTGCCGCCACATGAGCCGCAGTGAATACTCGTTTGTAAGGAGTCATGTCAGTGGCAGATTCTCTTTTCAATGTTCTTATCGCTTTACAAGGTTTTGTACGCAACCTGCAATCGTGCGAATTTCGGCGTGTGCTTGTCAATGTTCTCTATCGCTTGGCAGAGCTTTCGCCTGAAAACTCAGGGCTGGCTTTTCACTGCTCCCGTCGCTTTACAGAGTGTTTGCTTTCCGAATTTGGCGCACACTGCCATATGTAATGCGTTTTGACCGTCACTCGCATGTTTGCTGCAACAAGCACATCTCAGGTCTCCTGGATAACAGACAGCGTCCCTTTCCAACACAAGCTCGCAACAATGAGAAGGGATCTCAGAGTGTTGGGCTTCAAGTTATGGCCAGGGGGAACGCTTCATTGACATTTTGGATGCTTTGCCAAGGCCCTGGGGTACTGCCTTTGAAATCTACGGTCCGCCGCTGTTGACTTGCAGCACATGGTGAAGCTTAGAGTTAGCTGGCGCGGGTGTCCTAAGGTGTCATGGCAGCATTGACAAACGTGCTGTTGCTCATCTTTACTTCTTCGCAGTACTCCAGCTGGACAATCACAGAAAAGGCCTGCAGCCAACTTCTTTCGAGATACATTTTGTGGTCCACGGTTGTCCCCATCGTGGCAGCTTTAAAAGCGCAGATGCTGATTGTCTTGAGCTGCAAATTATCAGATCGTCTACTTTGCGTTCCTGGAGCACTTGATCTTTGGCGCAAGGCTCGCAGCGCATTCGGCTCATGTTCATCAAGCCATGTCTCCATGCAAGGGTTTTAAGTTCTGCTTCGATCCATCTGTGTCTGGAAGTCGGATCAGATATTGACTGTTGTGCATCAGGCTGTTCGTTCAGGTCATTTTCCCTCAGGCAAGGGGTGGGTGCGGGCTGCAAAAGGCTGTTTCATGGTAATTCCCAGCATCAGGTCCCACAGACCGTGGAGGTGCTGTCTCTGAAGCAGGACAACGTTGTCCACCGGTGCTTGGAAGGCATCAAGGCAGGGAAGCCTCCAGCAGATGGGCACAAAAGCATGTCAAAACCGGCTTTGAAAGTGCTTGCTGAACAGGTAGAAAGCAACACAGACTTCAGCCTTTTTCGGGAAAGCCGTGTGCAGGAGGATGTGCAGGCCCATGCCACCTTCACTAACGGTAGCAACGTATGCTGTACGTCTTTCTGCACTATCCACATAGAGCCCTTGCAATTCTGGACCATGTTTTTTGCCGTCAGGTATTTGGATACGACCTACTCGAAACAGATGAGGCAACATTTCTGATCAAGCAGGATGACTTGGTGTGATGCGTTTCTCATTGAGGCAGACCTGACCTTGTCTTTGAGAGACAGTGGCAAATCCATGTGGGCATCCTATTGTTCATGAGCGCTTGATCTACATGTCTAGCAGATTCATGGCATCAATATCTTGGCTGAGGTACCAAGGGGTGATTGACGAGGTTGGCACACTACGTGTCAATATCGGCATGCCCGTGAGCAAATGAGGCCGGGACATTCCTCTGTGCACTTGAAACTGTGCGATGGTGCTCGACACTAGTTCAAGGTGATGATCATGGTCCACAAGTGATGCTTGTCTTGGAGTGGATGGTTTCTGTGTCAGTTCGTAGTGTGCCCTCCTTACCAACAACTTCAGCTGCTCATAGGAACGTAAGTAGATAGACCCTCGGAAGTTAATTATGTTGGAAGAGATGAAGCCCTTTGTGCATTTTCTGTTTCACTCTCAGATGACAAGCGTGTGCCTTTATTTTGATACTCAAGATGCCTTGTGCATGAAGCCTGACGAATGGTTGCTTCAGAGGACAGCGCTTTTGGCCTTGACTGATGCCTTAGATGCTCACGGCTACGCTTGACATCGTCGCAGGCAAAACGCCGCGCTGTATGCACTCTTTCCTTTTCCCTCCAATTTGTCCTCTGGCAGTGAGCAGGTTCTGTCTCTGTGGCTTGCTGCAACCCTCTATCCTGGCAAAATCTTTCTATTCACAGCATCATTTGCAGGGAAAGGTTGGATATTGATCAAGAACATCGTGAACACTAGTTCAGATTGCACTACTTACGGTACCGATGGAAACATCCGAGACGACAATCTACCGTTGAATTAGTTTCATGCGCTCAGCCGCATGCGTAGCGGCTTGACATGGTTCTCGTCAACCAGAGATGTTGTTACGTACTGTACTCTTTACATTTGGAAGCAGGCTTCTAGGTGAATCAGGTGCTCGAGAGAGATGCAGTTGCAGAGGTGCAACGCTGCAGATCTTTAGCCTCAAAATCCGCATCCAGCAGAAAATAGGAAATGAGTCCTTCGAAATCATCTTATTCATGGCTTATAGCACCACATGACAATTACTCAAGAATATTCGAGGTTTTCAGCTACAAGAAACTTGTATGAGTCATGTTTTGGAAGCGAACATGCCCAAGACTGGGAGTTCTGGATCGCTGTTCCCCACTGTGGGCCGGCACAGGTGCTGTTGTGGCCTGACCATACGCGCATGTAGAAAATACCTTGGCGTGCACGTGCAGAAGCAGTCAACCATTGCTAGCAGGCCAAGATGCGCAGCTCTTCAAGTTTGGAATTGTCAGCTGGCCTTGAATTCAATTCGGGGCTTGCTGCAGCCGCTGCCATTGCGGCTGTTGTGGCGCTGCAGTTGAGTCTGCCTGCCAAGCCCATCGCCGGGCGAAGGCGGCGGACCCAGAACGACACTTGCAGTTGGAAATGAGAGCAAATTTAAGCTCACTTGCAATGACTTTTTTACAGCAATTGACGTTCAGACATTTCACCACGGCATAGACCAGCTCCATGGTCGGTGTTCTGCAATTCGGAACTTCCCAAACATCCCTATCCGAAATGGTGATGTTCGCATGCGTATTGCACGGAGGCTGTTCGTTGTGCTTCAGAGTGTCTTGTAATATTTCGGCTCAAGTTCAAAGCTTGCTGCGCGATGCCAATAATTAACAGCTCATGGTGCAGACTTGGAGGTTGCGCGTAAGGTTCAAGAAGTCATCGAGCAGTACGATGCCGCAGCAGCGCAGCTCAGATTCACAAGCAAGAAGCCTCAGGTTGATGGCATCACGGGCTACCACGAGTTTCTGCAACTTGCAGAGGACTACGAGAGGAGAGCTCAAAAGTACAGAGAAGTATTGAAGCTCCTTTAGAAGCCGCTGGAAGCACCACTGTCTGCCAACCAGCAGGATGCGCTTTTGCGTTTATCTTTGGGAACGTTCTAAGAGCCGGCAGCTATGGTCATCGCGAAGGCTGCAAAGGCTTGCAGGTGGCCCGTGCTGGGGGCGGTGCCGTTGGCTGCCTGTGAACTTGGCGCCGGGCTCGGCTCGCACTTTTGCGAATGCAGAAAAGAAACAACCAAGTGCAGTATGCTACCACTCCTCGACAACACCTAGGGCCAGGTTGAAGTTGTGCCCAATCGCTTGGACGAAGACCTGATCGCCGCACTTTGTCTTACCAGCGGCATGCTGGCATGAAGCTTGCTTCATCACTGCCATGTTTGCGGCACGGCGTGAAGTGCTCCGCCGAGTGTTTAATCTTGCGTGATTCTAGGTCAGCGTCATACAGCCCTTGTTTGCTCCGCAGCCAGGGCTTGCACAAGCACAAAAGCATCAACAGCAAGACATGGGCATTCCGGGGAACCTGCTCATGCTCATGATCCTTCAGATGAGTTGCATCGCCAGGACGATGCCGTCAGAGTGGAGCTTGGCCGCTTGGCGGGGCTTTCTGGACGCCTCATCCAGCAGCAGGAGGAGCCCACAAAAATCAGAAAACAGTGAGGGGAATGGGGGTGTATCAGTGTATCCATTTTTCGGGCAATGAGACTAGCATGGCAAGGTCTCTGTGAGTTTGCCAAGCATGTATGTGTGGAGGTCCGATGTGTGATGCGCGAGAATATTATTGAGGCGATGGGTAAGACAGCTGTCATCAAGGAGTAGCAGTGTGGCAATCATTGTATCCAGAGGTTGTAGACATCCATGCTGTGCTAACCCTGAGTGGTTTGGCTACTGTTACGAGACATGTGTCGGAAGTAGAAGCTGATGCCATTTGTTTTGTGGAGCACGCGCCAGGTCAATAAGCTTGCGCACTTTCTGTGATGAGCTTCTGCTCTTTAATCTTTCATAAGTAAAATGATCGAAGCAGTTCGCCTTAGGTAGTAGGTTTTCGAAGCTGCGTCCACAGGCGAGAGTACTTCAACCTCCTCAGCTCTGGCAAGGTGAATCCAAGGGCAGAAGTGAATTCTGAAGGATGTGGTATCAAGGTTGTTAATTGAGGGCAAGCTTGGGGTCGTTGGCCAACCCCAAGGATGATTGTTGTCGCTCTTTTTCTTGTAGCTGCTGCTACCAATATACTTATCAGCAATGACAGTGCTTACCATCATAATTGCCTGTCCTGACATTTCTAGCCTTGCAGGGCGGTTTGACATGTTGATGCCTCAGGTCCTGGCAAGTTTGAGGTGAACGTAGCCACAGAAAACGAGGCAAACTAGTCCTACATTTTTTATCATGGACTAGCAGTATATACGGAGTTTGAATGCCGTTATTACCACCAGTAGTACCATCATCCAAGCCATGACTAGGAGGTAACTGAACTACGCTTGCGAAAACCTTCTCTGTATGTTTTGCAGGCCCCAATCGACGCTGGTGGCCTTTCACGCAGAGATTCCATGCTTAAGCACGAGGTTTGAGTCAGACTTTCCACCACAGCTGCATTTGCTACTGCTTGCTCAGAATAAAACTCCCTGCCCCCAATGAGTGATCTTCCCTTCATTCCGCTATAAAAGGAGGGTGGAGGCTTTAAGGGGTTGGGATGTGTGTGGTCATTGCAGGAGTGATGTCGTTCAGTTCTGGTTATCACAACAAGTATCATGAATCATCATAGTATTAGTATTGGTATTGCTACCTACATCCTAAACCCTGAACCCTAAACTCCAACCATGTTCTATTGCCCAAGCTCGTCAGCCGCAAAGCTCCAACCGTTTGCCAGGGGACCGGCTTGCTCTCGCCATTCCGAGGTTCGGCCTGATATGACCCTGAAATGTATGAGCTATAGTTTAAACTGTTTCTAAACAGGTCACAGGGTTATAATTATATGGGATTAAATAGGGGACTATTATCGGGTTACTAATGGACAATGGCTCATAAAGGAATTTCCTTAAATTCATTATTCTGCAGGTCCCTTTAGCGGGCTCCCATTTCAATACAGGTCCATATGCAATTTCCCCCCATCGTGGGAATAAGTATTCAGACTGAGTCTCACACGGGGTTATGTAGGAATCATAGAAGTCACTGGTCGATATGGCAGAAATGCTCGCAGTTGTGGCAACGCGCAACAGGAACAAGTTTCAGAGCAACAGCAGCCAGTTCAATGCAGGCAGCATCTGTAAAGCTAGCAACGCTACCACAAACGTATGCAAGACAACATTCGCAGTTGTGATGAGATAGCAACTGTATGAAGTGGGACGTTTGCCAAGAATCATATTAGAAAAGCAGAGTAAGGAGAGCAAGAACAGCCAGAAAAGATTCATTATAGGGCTTGTTATCCCTGATAATGGAGACTCGCGTTGAAAAGAACATGGAACACGAAATGGACACTGGGGAGTGATGGTAACTTAAACATTTGATATCCCTATGAATTGGTATTTTTTCAAAACGGGGTATGTTTTGGTCCTTTCTAGGGATCATAAATGAAGTGTTTATCAGGATAGGCTCCCCACATTGTAGTTCCCTTTCCTCAAAAGACTGCGTTCAAACTTCCCTAAAATCAATTCATCATCATGGGTATGCATAATGCCATCTGTGGCATTTTCGTTCTCACCATGATAAGAGAACAGGCAATGAACTTCTAGGATCCACTCTTTGCTTGACCTTGGGAGGTTTGAAGGATAACGGCCGGGCTTTGGGATTTAGAATTGAGTATTGCAACTATAGTTTCAAGGCCCATGGCATTTGCAATCTTTGAAGACTGCTAATCGTTCCTGATGTCGTTATCATGATTATGCATGTTCAGTACTCCCTGAATCTTGCGGCCTGTCCCAAGCGCTACTGCTGCCAGCTTGATTCAGGCTCTTGGGTGGTGAAATGCTTGTGCTGATGCTGGGAGCGGCATTGGCACTGCTGCCACTAGCCATTGTTGCTGCATCGGATTTACAGGAGGCCAGACAAGAAGAATGTGACATACCCGTGGTCCCGGCCCGTGTTGGTCGACTGCCCTCTGCGCCGCAAACACAACCCTGGGGTTGGGCAGAGGCAATGGGTTTATCGCGCAGCACCTGGCAGAAGGCAACTGGCGGTTCCAAAGCAGTGTCCATCGAGTTGCGCCAGCTTGTTTGGCGCGGGATCGTGGACTACGGGAAGGACTACATCCGAGGACCCCCCACGCAGCTCAATGCAGCAGCTGACAAACTCACAACCATTTGGCGTGCAGTGCAAAGCATTTTTCATGTTCCCGCCATTGCCGAGATGTTTGGCAATGCCTTGGTCGTGGAGGCAGTTCCATTGTACAGCTTGCTCGCACCGTTGCCAAAAGGGCTTTCGGGCGCCGTCTTCTGGCGTGAGGTTGCAACCATGCGCAGCCTGCTCCGTGGTTTTGGAATGGAGGGGCTCCGCAATCAATCTTCGAGAGTGCAACGATGCTTCAATGGGCTCAGTGGGCCGCAGGATGGGCTGACCCCAGATGGCCTCTGCCAAGCTTGTGTGAAGTTCTTTCACTGCCAGCGCGCAGAGGACGGCGCCTATCGCCTGATACGCGCAAGTTTCCGATCCTGTTTGGAAATCCCGAAAGAGCTTACAAGCGGGCTGGTGCCATCTGAGTTTGTGAGGATTTTGGATTTGACCGGATCCTCCTGCCTGCTTCCCAGCAACCTAGATGCCCTTACCAGGGCCTTTCCAAAGCTACGTGTTCTGCGCATAGTGGACGATGATGGCCTGCTCTCGACCTGGCCGAACCTGTTGGACGGAGCGGGGGTGTGGTGGGGCACACTGCAGGGCCTTGAGCTTAGCATACCCTCGAGCGTGCCTGCATGGGTTTGCAAGCTTGGAGACCTGCGACACCTGCAGATTTCTCCGTCTCCTCGAGGGTCCATCCGGGCCCTGCCGGACTGTCTGGGTAATCTGACGAGGCTGGTCGATCTCAACCTCGTAGGGAACAACCTCACCGGCACGGCCTCTCTGCCTCCGGCCCTTGGGAAGCTTCAGGAGTTGCGCACCTTCGACGCTTTCGAGAATGGAAGGTACAGTGACTTGGATGCGGTTTGCCCTGATGTGCATGTGCCACAAAGGGGAGGTTGTGTGCCTGGCTACGTGGCACGTGCCGATGGCACGGAACCAGTATGGCGGTGCCCTGATGCAGGGTGGAAGATACAGCTGGAGGATCGCAGCATTCCGTGGTGGCGCTGGCGCAACATCGAAAAGCTTCACATCGACGCTAACTTCATCCAGGGCCACATCCCAGACGATCTCCCAGACTTTTGGCCACACTTGCGCTCTCTGGACTTGCACGACATGCAGTTGAAGGGTCCTCTACCCAGGTCCTTGTCGCGACTGAAGAACCTGTCTCAGCTGCAGGTGCAGCTGAACGATTTGGAATGTGGCTTGGGGCAGGAGGATGCTGTTGAGAAGCTTTTTTTGCTCCCAAAGATGCACTCGCTGAATCTCGATTTGAACCCGCGGCTTTGTGGCTGTGCGCCCATCGAGACACGGGCGGGCATGTTCGCGCAAATTGGCGAGACGCAGATCATGGTGGGCTGCGGCATGTGGGCTGAGTTGTGATGCTGAGACCCTGCATGACCCTGCCATCTTTACCAGAAATTGATTTGTGCGCGGACTTCCTGGATTCACCATCTGGCACCAAACTATCTTAACCAAACATATTGGAACCCCTGTCTGCATCCGTCCTGTTGCTGCTGTAAAGAGTTGGACACTTTGAAAACACACGCGCACAGAAAACAACTGAACAAACAGTTGTGGCAACTGAACAGCCGGAGGCTGAAACAACGACACATCCACGCATCGTCTCCTGGTCAAGTGGCGACCTGAGATGCTCTTGTGACCTGTCAACTTCAGTGCACCATAGTGCACCTGAGCACGAAGGCGCTCAGTAGTCTCAGCTGTGAAAGAGGTCCGAATACCGCACTGAAGACGGAACCCTGAACCCCAAGCTTTTGGTTGTGTGTGCGGCTGAAGGGCCACTGGTCAAAGCAGTTGAGTCTTGATAGCGCATAGCGCAGGTTGTGGGGTGTATGCTCAGGATTCACGGGTTCAACTTTTCAATTTTTAAGTGTGATGTGTGCAACCCCCATGCTTGGCACTTGCATCCCCGCTGCCCTCAAACCTTTTAGCTGAGCAAATCCACCTTGCAAGCTCTCTTCCCGCTGCCCACCCCTTTGTAGCAGCGGCAATCAGAGGTAAAGCCAGGAGACATAGGATCAGAATCAAAAAGCAGGTGGCCTGTGACCTTGTTATTTTGTAGCAGCTTAGCAGGCTTAGCGGGCTCTAAGGCCAGAGGTGACAGAGCCCCCAATCGATCTTGTAAGGTCTAATGTCCCTCGTCGGCCCATGCCCATGTCCATGTCCCTACAACCATTTTTGTTGGTACAGGGTGACCACCTGGAGCGATATGAGCTCCCACCCTCAAAGCATTGATTCGCATCAGACCTGGTTGCCGTGCTTGCCTTGCTTGGGGTGTTAAGGGTATTTGGTCTGGGGTGGTGACTTTTGGTAGCTCAACTTCCTACAGAAAACATTGGCCAACAGGTGACAGCGAACTACGCGATCTGGAGAATTTGGTATGGAGTCTGTATAGACCATGATCAAGAATTTTGCCTGAGAAGGGATGGACCATTGAGCTTGAAAAAGGCATGCACCAGGTGTGAGAGGAGAGATACATCTGACACTGATCATTGCTGTTGATGTAAGTGGTTTTGAGGCAATTGTTCTGAAGGTTTTTGAGGAGCAGCCATTTCAGGTGCATGGCTTGACTTTGGCCCTTTGGGGGGCTTCTGCGGTGCTCTTAATTGAGCTCGTAATGGACACCCCTGCAATCCCTCTAGAATTACAGTAGAACATCCCCTTAAAAACCTATTCCCATGATTTAGGTCCCTTTGTTACGACGAAGGGGCGTGTACAAGGGTGTATTTCATTGGTGATGCTTGACTGAGGTCTATCGGAATCAGGAGTATGCGATCACTGTGACGATTGGCGCCTGCGGGGGGTTTGTCAATCCTCGATGCGAAGGCCTTCAGGAAGTAGCAGTAGCAGTAGTAGTAATAATAATGAGAAGAATGATCGGAGTAGTGATAGTAATGGTAATAGCACAAGTAATTGTAATAGCAATAGCAACAGCAGCAGTAGCAGCAGCCGTGGTGGTGGTGGTGGTGGTGGTGGTGGTGGTGGTGGTGGTGGTGCTGGTGGTAACAGGTTTGATTTTGTAGCCGCGGCAGTTTCTGGCACGCTGCCTGATCTCTGCAACAGGTCTGCTGCGCGCCCCCAATCATTTGCCTGGAGGCGACTGCGGACCGCCTGGAGACTGACCACGGTAGATTCGCGCACTGATCATGGGCAACCCATGTTGTAACCTGCCTAGCGAGTGCATGCTCTGTGGCTCGAGCAATCAATCGGCATCCATTCGTTCCGACTGGTTGCGATTTAAGTTGAAGCTTGTGAGAGCTTTTAGAGACTTGCCTTTTCGCAATGAAGTTCCATACTATGAAGCTATTTGCCTTGTTGTGGCTCCACCCCTGCCTGGCGTATAAGATTCGCCAGCAGCAGCCTGAGATCCCAGCGTCACAGGTCCCCGCTGTGCGCGAGTTGACCGTGGCTTTGCCCCTTGTGCTCATCAACTTGACGTATACCACAGGACTCATCCGTGATGGAAACTTGGCGGAAAACTCTTCGTTCCATGCCAGCGACTTCCAGCATGACGCACCCTTCGTTATGGACAAAGCTGCAGGCTTCTATGCGGTCTTGAATGATGTTCTGATTGGAGCCACTGGAGGAAGCCCCAGCCCCTGCACTCGTGAGGATCTCCAGCATTACATGGCGTGCATTGTGGCAGCATCCTGCGTCATTCAAGCCGCTGTGCCTGCTCATGTTAGCATGGAGATCTATGCGATGATCACTGAGCAGGTGGTCCGCTTCGAGGAGATCACCTGGCCACTGCTCCGGGATGCGTTACTCCATGAAGAGGGTAGCAACGGTCTCGGAGGCGACCTCCTTCTGCCAGAGGCCTTTGTCTGTGATGGCTCAGAGCATGACCCCAGCTTCATGCAGCTCACGTCCAACACCTCGAATGAGAGGTCGCTGCAGCGGCTCACGTCCATGGTCGGCACCGAGCACACGGCCACAATGGCCATGGCATTGGCCTTGCATGAGGCGGCCTCTGCCAGTCATCATATCATGAATAGCCACGCCACCAATGCTTCCATTGACGCCACCATTGATAAGCTCCAAGACGCCTGGCATCCAGTGTGCCAGACACTGGGCTGTGATCACACCAACTACTGGGACATCTACCTGCAGCACCACAAGCACAGCATCGCGCTCCTGGAAACCAACCATGCTGGTCTTCTGCGATCGGACATCAAGCTGCGTTTCCATTTGGAGCAGCGGGTTCAATGGATCCTTGGACCTCTATTAGTTTACCCCTAGGCCCAAGCCTTAGGCATTGCTGTGTCCAGTGATCGGGCAGGCCATGCAGTTGCTACTAGATGCTGACATGTGGTTTGCCGAGGGCAGGATACCTACAAGCCAACGCTAAGGTAACATGAAGCAGTAAGCATATCGCCAGCCATATAGGAGCCCAAAGCAGAGCAGTCATGTCTTAGCACATCCCTGTTGGTACTCCTTCACATGCATAGCTGCGTGCTGCGTGGCCTGGGGACGATTCTTGAGGTTCATGGCGCAAACCCAGGATTACAGCTTCATTGAGAAGTATGCCCGGCACGGCAAGGAACATCCCTCGTCCCATCAGGTCTTCCATGCCTACCACAACCGAGCCCGGGCTGCCATGATGGAGTTTGCAAGGCCTGTTGTGCAGTCCCTGCCCTATGAGCGGGCCAAGCGTTTGGTGGACTTGCAGAAGTTGGCAGACATTCAAAGGGCCCGCGACGCGCGCACCTTGGATGCCGCAGCGGCAGAAGTGCCCGAGGAGGATCGCCAGGAGTTGTCTTTGCTCGAGGAGGTTGAAGAAGAAGGCGAAGGCGGGAGCCGCATCTCTTCTCCAGTGCCGTCATACACGTGACCCCGTTAGCCCCCTAAATTCTTTACCCTTCATATCTTCTTTGGTTGGTGCCTAGCGCGAGGCTGAAGTGTGAGCTACAAAATCGGCGAACTGTTCTTGGAACTGCTGCCTTAGGTAAACACATTCATTGCGACCGCAGGGGGGGGGAAATTAACGCGACCCGTCCCACTGGCCCCACTGGCCCCACTGGCCCCACTGGCCCCACTCCGCCCCACTCGCCCCACTCGCCCCACGCCCCACTCGCCCCACTCGCCCCACTTGCCCCATTCGCCCCACTCGCTCCACTCGCCCCACTCGGCCCACACTCGCCCTCCACTCGCCCTCCACTCGCCCCAACCACTCGCCCCACTCGCTCCACTCGCTCCACTCGCACCACTCTTCCCACTCGCTCCACGGTTCGGGGGGCAAGCTAGTCACTGGCCCCACTCGCCCCACTCGCCCCACTCGCCCCGCCCCAATCGCCCCACTCCCCCCACTCGCTCCACTCGCCCCACTCGCCCCAACCACTCGCCCCACTCGCCCCACTCGCCACTCGCCCCACTCTCGCTCCACGGTTCGGGGGGCAAGTTCGGGTCAAGCCGGGCAAGCGGGGCAAGTGGGTCAGGCGGGGCAAGTGGGTGAAGTGGGGCAAGTGGGGCAAGTGGGTTAAGGGGGGCAAGTGGGGCAAGTGGGTCAAGTGGGTCATGTGGGGCAAGTGGGGCAAGTGGGGCAAGTGGGGCAAGTGGGGCAAGTGGGGCAAGTGGGGCAAGTGGGGCAAGTGGGGCAAGTGGGGCAAGTGGGGCAAGTGGGGCAAGTGGGTCGGGTGGGGCAAGTGGGTGAAGTGGGGCAAGTGGGGCAAGTGGGGCAAGTCGGTTAACGGGGGCAAGTGGGGCAAGTGGGGCAAGTGGGTCAAGTGGGTCATGTGGGTCATGTGGGGCAAGTGGGGC